GGAGCTCACCCCGCCGCAGGGATTCAAACCGCCGACCTTTCGATCAGCAAGTCCTAGGCTCTGTGGTTTAACCCACAGCGCCACCCGCGTCCCTGTTATAATTATAGCTGAAGCTAATTTGGTGGGAAAATATTTGGCTGATTCATGCACGCATTCAAAAAAATCATCTGAATTTCCCTCTTGCCCTCAGTTATGGATGATGTTGGATTTAGGGCTTTTTGTGGGAAGCAGCTATAGTTTTATTGTACTTGGCTGTAATCTATCAGGCCGGTAAACACCTTAATTAATACTTTTCCTGGTGGCATCTTTTATCTGTTTATTATTATTTTTTAAATGAGCATTGAATTGGTGTAAAGATGCCTTTTAAAAACCAAAACATTTGCAAAACAGTGCATAATAAAAGCAAATTAAATAGATTTCAAATGATTTTAAAATGGGATATGAAGATAAATTGACAGTGTGTCAAGTTTGTGGTCCTGAATCACCAATGTTTTTCAGAAAGATTGTAGCTACTCAGAAACAGCAGAAGTTTCTGAGAATGCTTCCACTCTATTTACTATGGAATAGCCGCAGTTTGCTCACTCAGTTTTTACAGGGCATCTGCATGATGTCATAAGCAAACCATTCATCTTTTGTGTCAGTTTTGTTGCGGAATCTGTCCTGCTTGTAGGCCACAGTGGGATCCAATGGAATGAAGGCCGGGGCTTTAGAAACACAATAAGTGATAATATTTTCTCTGTTCAGCTTCTTTTTCTCTTGCACACAACTTTAAAAAACCCCAACTTTTTGAACTCAGTGGAATAGCTGCATAATTCCTCCAGGTGCACATAAGTTTAAACCAGCCATGTCCTCCCACATAGGGTACAAGTCTATCTTCACCCTGAAACATAAATTTGGTGCTTGAGTATGCAAACGCCCAATGTGGGATTCTAACTCTTCAGATGACTGTCTGGGGACGGAGTTGGAAAAGTAAGTATTTCTCAGCGTTCTTTCTCAAACACTTCCTGTGCTACAAGGCTGCCATTGTGGATGGTGGGCTTTGGGAGACAGCTTTCCCGTTTTCAGAACAACAACAAAAATATCCACCATAAACTTTGCAGTAGGAAAAAAAAAAGGAGAGAGAAAACAGGAAAATGCTGGAGCTAGTTGTGTTTAGGAAAAAAGAAAGGATCTAGACATTACTTTTGGTACTATGGGTCCACATGGAATTTTCAAAAATGCCATGAGTGCCAGTCACAAATGGCTGCCATTGGAGCATGGCATAATGCAAAATGGCTGCCATATGAGAGGCAGGACAACAGACAGGTGTGGGAACACAGCCCTCCCGCATCAGCCACCCATCCATAGGGGGGAAATGGACTTGCGTCAGCCACTGCTGTGCTCACTTACTGAGAGAAGCTCTTTGAACCGCCCCATTGTTCCCAACAGATGGGAGGGTGGGTGGCAAATCCTGGCACCCAGTGAAACGTGGGGAAGTTTAAGGGGGTGTATTCAATATACAAGAGGTTGAGGCAATCCAAGCGGGAACTGAGCAGGAAGAGCAAACAGTTGCTTGTGCATTGTGGATTTTTGAAGGGAATATTTACTGAGATGGTTATTTTGCGGGCATCACTGGAGCCACCAATGGGGTCTGGCTGGGAGCTGACGGCCCTTTGCTTTTGATGCAACAAGGCTCTGCATAATTTGGCTTTAAGGTAAAACTAAGAGAACAGATCTCCTCTGAAGGTCAAAGGTGCCCTTAGGGCAGATCCCTAAGTAAATGATCAGCAAGCAGTAGTCCTCTGTTAGCTTCAGAGGCCACTCATTTTTACCCAGACTAGGGTATTTATTGTTGAGCTATGGGGCAATAGATCACACCTAGCTATAGTATGCTCAGTTGTTCATGTGCTACATATTTCTCTGCTTTTGATTTTTATGCACCAGCACCTATGCCAACACACCGCATTTGGACTCTTCACAAAATATCCAGAAATGGTACATGGTGCTATCTATGTTAGCTAATGCTTGGACAGGGGCCAGGATAAAGATAAATGGGAGTATTATTTTCATAAATATGCCGTTAGCCTACTGAGGGAGCTAAAATGAACTGGGATAACCCCGCTCCATAACAGCATTTTTTTATGATGGATGAATCCTATTCTGATTTACTGTTATGAGGTGCGTATGCCAGTAAAAAACACTGTAGGACATTCATATCAAATACGCTCAGATTAAGTGAAGTCCAATAAATCAACGCCACGCTACAACCCATGGGAGATTTATGCTTGGATTCTCCATTTCAGCCATGAATAGATTTCATTCACCAAAAAGATGATTAGATTGGGCTATTGGATATGTAGCCAAGGATGCCATAGACCAAGTATATCAGATGCATTAAAATATTCATTTATGGGGATTTTAGTTGGCTAATATTTGCTTTCCTTGTCATTGACTGCTGCCAGTCATTCATAACCGCCCGTTTCTGAGCTCGCTCAGTTGCTAATAAAAACGCGTCCTGCTTGCCAGTAGAGAATCTTCTTACATCTGCAGAAAGTTAGCTGCTGTGAAATGGAGAATTGTCATAAGTGAGTAAGTTGTTAAGAAAATTGTGGGACAGATAAATTGGCAAGGCTCACACATTTCATATGCATGAGGCATCGCAAATCTATTTTGAAGCTCTTCCGTTGTCAGCTTTTCAAGGCGAGGATACAAACCCCCTTCTGAATTCATATTCTGACTGTGTGGAGGAAGAGCAGGATTGTGCCCAGTTGCCCTGCCCCCAACTCCCACATGTTCAGCCAGATGTGAAAAGGGGCTCTACGCATCTCCAGCTGTACACAGGAGGGGCTCTAAGCACAGAGTAAGCACACAGTAGGGCATGCCCCAAACAGCCACCCAGCTCACCCACTCCGTTGACAAATGGCAGAGGGAACATGTCAATGGTTTGAGGTGGTGGTGGTGGTGGTGGTGGTGGTGGAGTATTGGAGCAAAACAGTATCTCATTTCAGGGTGGCAGAGGGAGGGAGGGGGGCAATTAAGGGGGCTTTCTTAACATAGCATCTGCAGATCTTCTCCTTATAATAACACCACTTTCAGAGTGGCAGTAGTAGCCAGAGCAGAACTTCGGCCTCTATTCCCCCCACCAGAGGTAGATTTAGGGGAGAGTGACCGGTTCAGTCCCACTGGGCGTGGAGCCTTGGGAGCACTGTAACTATTATTTAGAATGGCGCATGAGAGGCAGGGGTGCCAAATTTTGAGACTTCAAGGTCCGCCGCTCCACAAGAACGCCTCAGTCCTCTGCAGAATTATGGTAGCATCGGCAAAATGAGACGGCCTGTTTCACTCCAGCCTCTGCCACTGAAAATTGCACCTGTTTTAGGCAAGACAGTGGCTTGGAATGGACTTACCCCATCCCTAATACAGATCCTTTGTGTGTACAGTTGTATGCATATAGAGTTTGGGCTCACCTGCAGCTGAATGTGAATTGGGGGTGGGGGGATAGTGAGCAGGCACAGTCTGCACTCATTATGTGCACACATGGAAATGACAGCAAGAAATAGACTTGTATCTGATCAATATTGAACTGTGCTTAATAAGAGCTGTATTTATGAATCCCCCCCCCCCCGAATAGGTTATAATTGACTTTTATTACATGGAGACGTTGACTGTATTGCAATTTTATTAGAAAAGTTAATGATGTTTCCCACTTGCTGCTTATGGTGCAGTAGTTTTCACACTTTATTCCCAGGAAGGCCTGGGATTCCTTGGAAGCTTATCTCAAGATCTTCAATTAAGAGATCAGCCACAACAGTGGGGAAGCATCCCTGAAAGACGACTTGCACACCACTATGGGGCTTCTCATATAACATGCATTGATGGGTAGTTGCTGGATGTGTTCTAGGCCAGGTGTGGGAAACCTTTGGCCCTCATCATGTTGCTGAACTACAAATCCCATCAGCTCCAGCAAGCATGGCCAGTGGTGATAGGATTTGTAGTTCAGCAGCATCTGGAGGTTTCCCGCTCCTGTTCTAGGCACAATTTCAGCTCAGGAGAATTTCAGACAATGCAGAAAAGGTTCTCTGTAGGTGCAACATTTGAAAACCTTAAAAATAAAACCAAACATCTAGTAGGACACAGAAGTAGCACGAATATCATACCTCTTTTGAATCCAAAGTACTGTCTTATTTCAGCCATGAAAAATAAAACAAAGGCTTGTTTATACGTTATAATCAACCAACCCCCAGACTCGGTAACATATTGTATTACCAAGGTCTGTTTATATATTATAATCAACCAACACAATACACAGCAAGATATTTTATTTCATGAGCCAATCTCCACAGTTTTGGCATACAAATTTGGCATGACCACCCACAACGAGGCAGGAAAGGAGTTTGATTGTTTTGAAAGAGAGACTGAAAAGTATATAGAATATGCTCATACCTGCATGATGCTCTGCTTTATGTAAAGTATTATGGTCACCTTCTTAGTGGCAGACCCGTACCCAGTAACTAATGTGTAAATCTGTTCATGTTTTCAAGCTGTGATTCCACTTTCTGTTTATTGGAAATGTGTTCGACTTCAGTCACTGAGATCTACTTTGAAGTTTGCCTATCTATGGGTGTTCAAAGTGTGCCGTTTCATTTTCCTCAATAGCACACATAAGGCATTACTCCGCTGAAGTGAAAACACTGAAGGCTGCAATCCAAGACATGCTTATTTGTGAGTAAGTTATGTTGAACTCAGTGAAACTCATGAATGTCAGAATGACTGCATTGTTCTGTGTTTGCGGGAGTGGTTTAAGAACATGCTGACGCTACTGATATTTTTTTAAAAATGCATATATAGTACTTGGCTAGACTGTGTGCATATTCCTCCCCCCTACCCAGGGTGATTTTTTGTATAAATGCTTTAGCTCAAGTTATTAATTAGTTTTATAGTATTTAACCCCTGATTCAGTGCAAAAAAATCTTCCATTATCAAATTGACCCATAGGCAATTGGGATGTTTCAACAAATACGGGATAGCTCAGTCGGTAGAGCATGAGACTCTTAATCTCAGGGTTGTGGGTTCGAGCCCCATGTTGGGCAAAGGATTCCTGCATTGCATGGATTGGATTAGATGACTCTTGTGGTCCCTTCCAACGCTACAGTTCCATGAATCTATGTTATGTAACTTTTGTTTGTTTCTATATTGTAAACAGCCCTGTGATCCTTGCATAAAGGGTGGTATAGAAATTTAATAAATAACCACTGCCACCACCACCAGAATCTAGTCTCTCCCAGCTGTCTTTCCTTCTTATTTTGGCTTATTTCATGACAAGGCCTTCTGTTTGGCAGTGAGAGGTGACCACTAAAAACAGCAGATGCTGGAGGGTGGGGAATAGTGTGGAGGAAAGAGCCTGGCGCATTTTGCAGCTTGTCCTGCTAGCCTGATGTTGTCAGGTATGGCAGACACTCTGTACATGGAATTGCAGGCTGGTGTTGCCAGCCTGTCTACCTCAAGCAGCCAGGCCGGTCCACTCACGAGGCAAGGTGAGGCAACTGCCTTGAGCAGGAGCATCCTTAGGGGCAGTGGGTCCAGCCACCAAGGAATGCATCACCCACAGCTACTGCAGCAGTGGCAGCTGCGTACTCCTCAGTGCCGCCTTTACTGTGGCCTCTTGGCGAATAGGAGGAGCTGCTGGTCTCTTTCCACCCCTAAGGCAGAAATTACCAGGGGTTGCCCTATGGGGACTTCTGGGCTCTGCACCCACCCTGCATGATTCAGAGTGGGCCCCTTCCTCCCCCCTTCCCGCCCCTCAATGGCCTTTGATTCTCACTTCAGCTCAACTGGTAAATTTGATTTCCCGCCTTTTTCCTGATGTAGATCTTCACACACTGCTTTTTCCCTGACAGGGGGTGCGTGCCATTTTGTGGTTTGCTTCAGGTGCCCTGCAAGCAGCAAAACATCAAGTCGGCTTACCATTATCCCCATCACTGTGCTTTAAGGCAGCCGGACTACTAGATTTATTATGTAGTATGTAGTATCATGGGACGCAGTTAGCCCTGTGGGTTAAACCACAGAGCCTAGGACTTGCTGATCAGAAGGTCTGTGGTTCGAATCCCTACGACAGGGTGAGCTCCCTTTCCTTGGTCCCTGCTCCTGCCAACCTAGCAGTTTGAAAGCACATCAAAGTGCCAGTAGATAAATAGGTACTGCTCCGGTGGGAAGGTAAACGGCGTTTCCATGCGCTGCTCTGGTTCGCCAGAAGCGGCTTAGTCATGCTGGCCACATGACCCGGAAGCTGTACGCCGGCTCCCTCGGCCAATAAAGTGAGATGAGTGCTGCAACCCCAGAGTCGGTCACTACTGGACCTAATGGTCAGGGGTCCCTTTACCTTTTATCATAGTCTGCTGCATTTACCTACAGCAGGGGTGGGAATCCTTTTTTCAAACCGAAATCTGCATTCTCATTTGGGCTGGTTTCTAGACACACTCCCGCACCTTTCTCTGCCCAGGTGATTGAAAGACATTATCAGAATTACGGCCATATTCCAACCAGGCAAAAACGGTCAAGGAGGACGTAAAAGTAAGTCTGGTGAAGAGTGTAGCCTGAGGAAAGTCCCAACAGCTGGATAGTGAGGCCTGGGGGATGTATTTGCCCCGTGCTGAGCCTGAGGTTCCCCACCAGTGAGATACATTCATGACTTTGCTTCTCTTTGAGGCAAAAGCCACCTGTTGCTTCAGTTTGTTTAGCCTGGGAACTGACCAGTACCCTGGAGGGGGAACATATGGCATATCACTCCTGAGCTGTTCCAGCTCAAAATGCAGGTTGAGGAGTCATCTGTATGTCCGAATGCTCACTCACGTGTTTAAAAATCAACCCTCTCTACACAGAAATCTTGATGTCAAAGAGAAAGCGATGTCAGAGAACCCTTCTCTTTGAGCTGCTAGCTTTCCCACAGTTTTTGACATGGAGATTTATCCCACCTTGTGGTCTTCAACCCATGTTCTGTCATGGTGCATAGCTGTCAAGGGTCTCTTATTTGATGGGACAGTCCCTTATTCCAGCGCCATGTCCCACTGCTGTCCCTTATTGATGGATGTCCCTTAAATGTCCCTTAAATGATGTCCCTTAAATTTCAAAGGAAGCAGCTCCTCTCCCTCCCTCCCTACCGGCTGGCCAGGGAGGAGGGAGGCTCCAACTGTGTTGCTTGGCTGTGTTGCTCACCCAGTAAGAAGTCTAAGAACGACTGGGGGGGGTAGAGCTTGCATGCCTTCTGTGTGGCTAGTTAATGCAAGCTGAGGGGGGTTTTGAATGCTGGACGCCATTTTGTTTCACGTGCTGCTGCAAATTTTGCAGTGCAAAGCCAGGCCACGGAGCCATCTTAAATTGAGGCTGCATAGGCCTTGTGGTGCATGTGATTCAGATTCTATTCAGTTGAACCTCTGGTTACAAAGTTGGTTGGACAGTGTTCTCGAAGCTACCAGCAGAAGTTTGACCAGACTGCAAGAGGACAGGAAGACTGGAGTGCCTGGAACAGGTGAGGCTGCAGGTCCCTTATTTTGGCTGCTGATCCCTTATTTTCAAATCTGTAAGTTGACAGCTATGTCATGGTGCGTTCCTGAGAAGTGTGTATGACATGCTTCTTCTTCCCACCCCACTCCACGTGCCAAACGACAAAAACACGAGGAACGGAAGTCAAGGATTTCTGCATTTTGAATTGTACGACAGAGAAAAGTTGGTCACCACTTTAACACTGAAGACTGTGTTGTAGTGTTCCAAAAGAATCCGTTGGCCCAAATTATTTGTTTCATGGTGTGTGTGTGTGTGTGTGTGTGTGTGTGTGTGTGTAAATGTTCACCTTTTGGACGGTGGTAGAAAAATTCTTCCCCAAAGAGCTGCCTGGCAAGAGGCAGAGTTTACTTGGACAGCATTTAAAAAAAATATATGTGAGAGAAAAACAGAAGCTGCCTTGTTGTTTCTTTTGTTTCAATGGATGAACCGCAGTCTTTTCCATTTCCTCTTTTAAGCGAAAGCTGGAAAATACATCAGGAAGATAAATTCATTCGTTTTAGAAGTGTTGTTCAAGCGAGGAAATAAGATGGAAAAGTAATTTTGCCGAGTGTATGAAAGACGTTGTGCGGGCAGTTCTGCCGTTGAACATTCCAGTGGACTATTGTTTTGTATGTTTTATTGGTTTTGCAGCCTTGTTTCACTTGTGGAACTCCAGCAAGCGTATATAGTTGGAAATGTTTTGTGCTGCATTGGTAATTTGCTGTTACAAATACAGTAGGTCAGTTTTGGGTTGAAGTTCCAGGTGTATATAAGTTCCATATGCAGGAGCCTCGAGGTCAGCCAGTTGAGTTCCTAAGCATTCAGGAAAGACATGGCATTTTAGACCTTGGTTATGCACATCATAATACATTAGGTACACTGTGCTAGATATGTTTTTAGGTCGAATTACACATATGGAGAAGCAAAATGGGATGCTTCAAGTAAGTAAGCTATATTTGCAATTTATACAACAGCCTACCCCATCTTTGGACTACAACTCCCATCTTCCCTGATCATTGGCCAAGGTGACCAAGGCACATGGGAGTTGGAGACAAATCCCCTGTCCCATGATGTTGCCAGCCAGCCTAATCTGGAGAAAAGAAATCCCTTCTTAACACTGGATGCTTTCCTCAGCAAAATTAGTTGTGAAAGCATGATTTGTCCATCAAATACCAATAGAGAATTTTCACAGCATGTAAGCAGACTAGCACATCCCTTCTGCTGTTTGTTCTCTCTCTCTCTCTCTTTCTGTGTGTGTGTGTGTGTGTGTGTGTGTGAGAGAGAGAGAGAGAGAGAGAGAGAGAGAGAAATAATAAATAGATAAAATATTTAATACAAATGTAGCATTTCAGTTTCAGCAAGGCTTTTCAGACACCAGATTTAGTGACGTGGAATAAATGTTTTAAAATCAGGTGCCTGAATAGGCTTGCTGAAAGAAACTTTTCCAAGCAGGCATGTAAAACAGTATTGTTTATGTGTATCACTAGTGCTTAGGAAGAAAACAGAAGCAGGTTTTATGTGGCATCCATTATCCACATGGATTACAATACAAGCCACTGTAAAATGCATTAAGTAAGAACAACAATTTGGAAATGTAATCCCAGCCCACTGAAAAAAGATTTGTGCATCGCTGGAAAGGGAACATTGCATTTTATTTTATTTTTACTGATAGTGTCAAAATAATTGTTGGGAAAATGTTCTGAATACCTGTAAAGTTACGCACAAAATGCTATATCTGTATATTTTCTAACTATGTTATATTATACATATATTTGAAATTAACTAAAATACCAAATAACATGTTTTAAAATTAACGAAGATATTTCTTCTTGTGACTTTTCTAGAGAAGGGTATTCTAGGCTTTGATTTCAAACTCCTGATTTAACAACTATGCTTATTATTGGAGAGGAGGCCAACTCCTGCTTTCTTATCTCCATGTTTATGCTTAACCCAAGAAACTCTCATTTTATTGTAAGAGTCCTCACTTGTAAATCTATAAGGTCAACAACACCTTTAATGTAGGGCCAAGCAGGCTTTTCTTAAGAGACCACCCCTCCATTTTGTTCCTGTGTTTGAGATAGCATGAATATGTGCATTTTGAATGTGTGTTCCAAATGAATTTTGGTAAATATTTGTGGCGGGACTGAATCAGACCTTGTACTAATAGTGTAATTCTATGCCAGACCCTCCAAGTGTCCCTGTTTTCCAGGGACAGTCCTGGATTTACAGAATCCGCCCAGTTTCTGATTTGATCCCAATGTTGGAGGGTATGTTATTCACATTTAATTTGAAGTAAATCTTGTACATATTATCAGCTTGCATGCAGTTCCTTTAAAAGAAACAGCTATGACTCAGGAGGCCAGGCTTTGGAGAACCAAGTCAGAGGTGTGGCCTGGCTGGAGGAGTTAATTACCACTCTGAGCGGCCTCCCAGGTCTCATCAAGATCAAGAATAACATTTGATTTACCATTAACTCAGCTGCTTGTGAGTTCATGCATAAACTGCAGAAGACAATACAGTGGTACCTCTGGTTAAGAACTTAATTAATTCT